CCCATAAAGCTCGATCTCAAATCAGCTACGTGTTCACATGTGGAGGTACTGTCATATCATGGTACTCCATAAAGCAATCTATTGCTGCTACTTCTTCAAATTATGTGGAGATAATAGCTATTTATGAAGCAAGTAGGGAATGCGTATGGTTGAAATCGGTGATTCATTTCATTCGAGAAAAATGTGGTTTGGAATATGATAAAGAATTCACAATTTTATACGAAGACAACACTGCATACATAGCCCAATTGAAGGGAGGATTTATAGAAGAAGATAAAATGAAACACATTTCACCAAAGTTATTCTTCACACACGATATCTAGAAGAATGGTAATATCGATGTGCAACGAATCCATTCAAGTGACAATCTAGCAGATTTATTCACTAAATCTTTGCCAAGTTCAACTTTTGAGGAGACGTTATACAAGATTGGAATGCGAAGACTCAAATATTTGAAACAAAGTTTTCATTAGGGGGAGTAAAATACGTGTTGTACTCTTTTTTACTTACTAAGATTTTTCCTACATGGTTTTTCTTATAAGGTTTTTAATGAGGCGGCTAGCAATGTGTATTACTAAATATGTGCTCTTTTTCCTTTGCTAAAATTTTTTGCTACAGGGTTTTTCGTAGTAAGGTTTTAATGAGGCACATTATCTTTTAATGAACATCCAAGAGGGAGTGTTATAAATATATTTTATTGTGGATATCCATTTAGTAATCTATTGTAAATAAGCTTCCTTAAGAAGCTTATCCATATTGGACTCTACCGTTAGCATTATATTGGAATAAGCATCTTGAAGAAGCTTATCATTTCGGTACTCCGTTGTGGATAAATATTACTCCTTGTAAAAAATTATTTATAGCCGGTAAAATAATAACTTACAAGAAGTTTACACAACAACTTGTTATTGGAGCTTACAAGTAGCTTATACTACAGCTTGCAGTAGCAACTTACAAGCAGAGTACACAGCAGCTTGTATTAGCAACTTACACGGCAAAATACAATAGTAACTTACACAACAAATTACTTTCTTCTATAAAAATAGAGGAGATTTCAGTTTATTATATAGATCAATTTTATAACATATCAATGTCTGAGTATCCTTGCCTTTGGCGTAATACATACGGAGACACCTAAAGTTGGCACAATCTTTCACTTAGACACTTAAACTAGGCCACTTTCCAATTAGACACTTTTCTTAGGCAATTCTCATACCAATTAGACACGTTTTTGCTGGCCTAATAATTAACCAAGCGCGTGTTCTGCAATCTCCGTCTATGTGGCAAAAGTAACCATTATAAATCGTGCCACATCATTTTTTTGTCCACCTCACTATCCACCTCAGCTATATAGTGTTATTTCCACTAAAATACAAATACCCCCTTCGTCCCCAACCTCCAACGTTCCCCCACCCGCCGATGTCTCCAATCCCGTCGCCGACATCACCCCTGCTCCCTCTTCATTGTCCAATTTTTGTCGTCTGATCTCGCCTGGCAAGCGGCGTCAAATAGATCCAAACTCCAAAGCCAAAAGTTCATAAACCCCATTTATCAAACTCCTTAATAAAGCCAAGAATTTCCGCAAAAATATCAAAATTACATAACAATGGCCAAGTAATTTTATTCTATTTATTAGGATGTTGGTCTCATTTGTTCACCACTTTTTAGTTATCTTTGTTTGAGATTGATAGTTCTGCTTGATGGTTTTTTTCCTGCAGCTTTATTTACTTTTTGGTGTTATGGTAGTGAAATATTATGGTGGTTGGAGGAGAAGTTTTGGTGGGATTTTGGAATTGGGGGTTGGTGATGATAAATGAAAAATGGTTGCTGCTAGGTAATTTATGAGGAGAAGATGACTTATTGGAGTATTATTACGGAGGAGGAAGGTTTAAGATAGTGTAGGAGCTGATATGGTGGACAAATGGAGAAGATGATGGAACACAGTTTGTTTTTTGGGTGGGGGTGGAGGGATTTAGTGAAAATAGAATTTTTTATGGTCAAATGCATTTTTAATATTTAATTAATTGAAAAATGTCATGTTTATTTCATTCACGCGCTCAAGGAGACTGAGAAACACTTTCTTTGTCATGTCATAGTTTTGTGTCTAATTGTTATGAGAATTGCCTAAGAAACGTGTCTAATTGGAAAGAGACCTAGTTTAAGTGTCTAAGTGAAAGATTGTGCCAACTTTAGGTGTCTCCCTGTGTATTACGCCCCTTGCCAACCTTTATTTTATAATATTTCTTATTAACTATGACTTTTTAGTTTTTAGTGCTGAGTAGCTGACTATTTTTCTTATGTATTAAACATTAAACATAAAATATACTCCCTAAAGTTTCCTTCTTTCTACTCCCCCTGCTGTGCTGTGCCACCCTCCGCCGCCGCCAGTGCCGTTCACTGTCAATCTCTCCCCGTCGCCGTGCCGCTGCGCAGAGATTCTATTTCTGGCATCACCGACTGGCTGGGTCCGTAATTGTGAGTCTCTCACTGAAATCATCAAGCTAGCCCTATTACATTTCTCTTGTTTTCACATTTCTGGTCCCATTTTAACTCTGCACTATTCTGCTTCTAGATTTTATTCAGTATCATTTTTCAATAGATGACGGACAACTAATTTTATTTTTTCTAGAAGAACAGCTCTAGTAAATCTTTTTGCAGACCTAGAAAATATAAATTGTTCAGTAAGTTGCTGTTTTAATCATCATTCTAGAATGGGAGATTCATTTCTTTTCTGTAGAAGGAAAATTAAAAGCCTGGTGTAGTTCTGATTTTGGGAGTGATACTGATGTAATCTTTTAGAGTTTCTGGAATCCTTCCAGTTTTACAGAATTCTTAGTTGGTAATGGCTTACTCATGTTAATTTACAACATTTAACTTTTACTTACTAAAAAAAAAAAATTCATTCTGTTTCAATGTTCAAGAGTGCTTATTATTATAGGTCTTTGCCTTGAGTATCGAAATATGCATCTATAGCAAGCCCTTTTTCTTGTACGAAATACATACTCCAATATTTTAGTTCTGGGCTAATACCAAATTACTAAATTGAGTTGGATTGAACTTTTGTATTGTAGGGAGTGTTCGTAAATTCTTGTAAACTGTGATGGATATATTTCTGAAGAAGTTGGATCATTCTCAACCAAGTTCTAGTTCTAGTTGTCCATCCCTGAGTCCGACGATAGCTCCAGAAATTCGTACGAGTGCCAATCTTTCCCATCTTATAGATGAACTTAATTTGGAATCACTTAAAGATGATCCAGGAGAGAGAATGCCCCTTGTTAACTATAGCCCTCAAATACGAGAAGAAGTGAGAAAACACTACATTCAGAAAGGTCCTTGTCAACCTTCCAAGCATCAATTTCCTAAAACTAAAATTGGAAATAAAATGCGTCAATTTAATTCAAGTTGGTTCGAAGGTCCATTTTCTGGATGGTTGGAGTATAGTGTGAAGAAAGATGCTGCATATTGTCTATGTTGTTATTTGTTCAAACATGAGTTCATTCATGGAAGTGCGGGTGAAGTTTTTACGAAAAATGGTTTTAGGGCTTGGAATAAGGCTCTTGAAAGATTGCGTTTGCATGCTGGTGAGGCTAATAGTGTCCATCATAAATGTTTCAATAAGATGCTAGGTTTGTCAAATCATCATCAATCAATCCAAGCTGCTTTTGACAAGCAATCCGAGAAGTTAAAAAGTGAGCAACGAATGCGTTCGGAAGCCTCAGTTGATGTTGCAAAACTTCTCTTGCATTATGGATTGCCGCTCTTCCACACTCTCCAGCACCTCATGGATGCCGCCAGTGACGACTCGGACAAGTCCATCAATGCCCCAGCAAGAGACTGTGCATGTGACGCTAAGGCCATGGCTGCAACACCAGCGGACATGAAAGAGTGCCCAAATTCCTATGTTTTAATTGTGGATATGCCCGGGTTGAAATCTGGAGATATAAAGGTGCAGGTGGAAAATGACAATGTGCTGCTGATAAGTGGAGAAAGGAAGAGGGAAGAAGAGAAAGAAGGGGGAAAGTATATTAAAATGGAGAGAAGGGTTGGGAAGTTCATGAGGAAGTTTACATTGCCGGAGAATATTAATACTGATGCAATTTCTGCTGTTTGTCAAGATGGGATTCTGACTGTGACTTTTGAGAAGTTACTTCCTCCTCGGCTAAAGAAACGCAAGACTATTGAAGTTAAATTTGCATGACATGGAATGAATAGTCTGTTTCCTTGACATGGGAAGTGAGAGTGCGTCTGTTTTGATGACTGATTGTGTCATAACTAGGAACACTAATCTTTTACTCTTTTTTACGTTTTCCATGTTTTCTGAAGTATTATGAATGCAACATGAGGAACCATATGTTGCTTGTAACAGGCATGATATCTGTTGTTTTTGTTAATACAGTGAAATGCTTCTATCACTCTGCCTGTTTCCTCAAATCACATAAATGCAATTACTTTTTCTTTAAACAAAAAAATGGCTTTTCTCCCCGGTGCAACTTTGATCGGATAGTAACATTAATTCATTTATAACTAAAGCAGAAATATTGTCCTTGTCATCCATAATTTTTCATTTTAAAAAAGGCTTAATTTCTATAGATTAAAGGTGTAATGAATCTTTACACTATCTTATGCAATTGGGGAAGCGGCTTAATAAACTGGAGTAGGGGTGTTAAATGGACAGACGGTGTCAAGTTGGAGCAGATTAGTATTACATCAAGAAATGAGATACGACCAACTCTTTGAAAGTCTGATTCGGTTAACATGAGAGGGAGATACAACAAGCTGGTGCTAGTTTTCAACGCTAAATGACTTTCTTCTTTGTCATTTTTTTTCCTAATGAGGTTTATAATCAGATTGCTAAAAAAGTAATTACTGTGTCATTAAGTTGGAATATGTCCTGAGGTCTGTTTATTTCTTTTAGTTTTCTTTCTTTTTCCTTTCTCGCTTGGATAAAAGCATCTTATAAGTTAAGTTAAACAATAATGTGACAAAAATACAAATAGGTGTAGACGCCCATTGCAGGTAAGATTTTGCCATTTAACTGTTCAGTACACAATTAGATACCTGAAAATGGAATAACAAAACTTCGGCACAAAACTACATTTCTGGACAAAAATTCTGGTATTGTCTCTGGGGTTTTATCATTTGTGAATTGCCTGTTTGAAAGAAGTATAAACTAGGACTGCAAGAACAAACCGAAAGTTTTGAAGTGGAAGAAAGAATTTATTCTTCTTTTCTTCCTTCGTTGAATAGCTCGTAAAGTGTATGCAACATCTCTGCTGTGCTTGGCTGGAGTGCTCGCTCCCTTTCTAACAAATAAAGCAATAAAAAAGCCCTCCTTGTCCTCTATGAGATCCGTTCTCAGCAAATGTTGAGCTGCGAAAAAATAAGAAAAATGAAAAATAAACATAAAAACACACCCGAAGAGTCCAGTTTCCAACACTGCACAATATCTATGTAACAATAAGAACAATAAGGGCTAAATCAGACATTCAAGACAAGTTTTGTGCAGGAAAACCCAGAATTTACCAGCCCAAAACAGGAATCTAGTTTCTAAAAGAAACTGAGATGTTGTTCTTTGGAATAGTATTATATATATCTAGGAATCTCATATACCTACATGATTTCCTGTTGCCTTTAGTGAGAAGCAAATACTATATACAAGACGTGTGTATTGAAAGTACTATAACATAGTCTAATCTTCTGCTAAATGACATGCTGGGCTTCCGAAGATAAAAGATGTCACCTCGGAGGTATATAATTGCTACAGTTTAAGCTAACCTATGAAATCTGGCTTAGAATATTAGCAATTGAATACAAAAACATTTGATGCCAGGAATGCTCAGAGCACTTGAAAAGCATAAGAAGAATAAATATTCTTTTGCACTTTCTTCATTTTTCTACTTTGACCAAGTTTTGGAAGGGGGATTGATTCTGAGGACTAGGGTCAGATGGGCACATATAAGGAAGCTCTTGAGATATGAATTAAACTAAAACTTGACAATGATGGTATTTGAGAGATGATAAAGCATTCAGCTGAAAATCACTCACATCCATCAAAAACTGGATGACCTCGGCGAGGCCATTGGGGAAAGACTGTCGTCAGTTCAAAACCATAAGAAGAAGCAAGAGGCAGAACAGAGTTGATTACATCTTCATTCTCAACTTGGTTAATAGAACATGTGCTGTAAACAACTCTCTCAACAGCTGGAACTACATCAAGATGAGAAAATAAATTCATCAGTCGCACAAATATAACATAGATGGACTTGCGAATGGCTTAGCCAAAAAAAAACGTAAAAGTCTCACAAGATAATGCATGTTCCAAAGCCTTTTTCTGGAAAGCAGCGAGCTTTTCTTGTCTATGTACATCAGAGGAATCTGCAAAGCTTTTCCAGAAAAATTGTTAAAAAAGAAATAAGTGAAGGGTTCGTTACACAAAGAGAAATAAAAAATGAATACAGGATGAGCAAAGTCACCTGCAGTATATGAGGGGAGCAGATGATCTAATCTATCAACAACTGTCCCAGATCCAGAACATGATGGATCTAAAAGTATTGCTTGAACCTGGTGTCAGGTAAAATTCCATTCAAAAACTCCAAACAGAAAACAGAGGGTTACAAAGTTGAAACCATGCTTGCTAAATATATATAAACTGGTACTTTGTCAATTTTTTCCCTTACTTTTTCTGTGCATGTGTAAAACCGTCACTCGGCAGGAACATTAATTAGAGCAAAACCAGCATTACCCCAGATAAAATATCCATCTTGATGGCTAGATCACTGTATAACAAGCACTAACTGATATACTTTTCCACACTGTCCAGAAACAGGAAGGAGTTTTTCTTTTTTGCTGCTCGTTCTGGTGTAACACACTAAAGTCATCTGCCTATATTTTGAGTGTTTCTTAGAAAAACTAACAATGAACAATCAAAGGCTTTATCATGTTGGTCAAAGTATGTCCAACTCATAAAAATTGCCCTCCCTCCTGTCTGTTGATACACTATTGTGTCAGAGAATCCTCCGATGCAGAAAAAAGAAAAGGACTATGTGCTTACAAACTTTTGGAATTATTTTAAGTTGTCTTGATAGGTAACTGAAATACGGTGTAATTTAGGTGCATAGAAGTGTCAAAAGATATAAGAACTCTCCTTCTTCCTTTTATCAACTAGGCTTTAGGTACTCATTTAGGATCCTTCAGCTCTAGTCCCATTTAAACTTGCTTCTTGGAGTACAAAAGAGTTCATCGTCACAAATACTCCTCATATGGGCGATGTCACATCACATCAGTAAAATTTGTATTGCTTTAGAAACTAGCATCCATCAATTCTATAACATATCAAGTGCTTTACAATCTATACTGCAGAACTTTCTTAATGATTAATATGTCAAATCATGTTTGTATTAGGCCAACCCATTACTTCATTCCAGTGCTGCAAGTATAATAGATTGATTAACTGGACAGAAAGTAAAAGATGTCATTTGGTAAGTTGATAATATCTAACAATCAACAACACTTCATTCCCAAAAAAAAAGTGTCTCGCATGTTTACCTTTGAGTATGCTGGATCCTCAGGACTCAAGTTTAAGAAGTCCTCATGCTTGACTTTCACGTCTTAGGATGTGTTAAGTTATCGGGGCATATTACGGTATACAAAGTTGAAAACAAACAAAACCCAATTAGACGAAATATCATATAACTAAATGGTTTTATGAATTATTTGAAAGTGGTTATTGAAACAAAAGATTCATGAGTTTCAAAATGCTTCCGATACATGATTACCACAGGAAATCCATGTAGAAATAAAGTTAAAAGTCCTATTTCCTCAAAAATAAACTTCAGACGCCTAGTGCAGAATGGTGCTTATGTTATTAGAAGTTGAGAGTCGTATAAAACTAATAACTTCAGCCAATTTGACTGAATAAGTGCGCGAAATTTTAGGGAATTATTTAAAATGGGGATAATATAAACCAAAAAAGTTAAAACGACAGAAGCACACAATTTTAAGGGCTTCCAGTACACTTTAGGTGGTCCATCTACAAATCAAGTGATGGTCAAATTTGCTGCGGAGCAATCATATGTGGTAAGATGGACAGGATACTAGAAAGCTGCTAAAAGGATACTAGTTGGTCCAGCCAGTTTAACAGTGTCTTTCAGACGTTTAACCCTTTCTATATTAAGTTCACAAGCAATAATCTTTCCTTTTCCCTTCATTAGAGCAGCAAGATGAACAGTTTTGTTCCCTGGTGCTGCACATGCATCAATGACCTTCACAAGAAAATAAGCAATCATGAACAACCAAGTGGTAAATGAAAATCAAGGGAAGACCTAACAACTCTTTTTCCATGTAATTAATTACCTCCCATCCGGGTTTAGGCCCAAGAGCAACTGCAACCATGGAACTCGCCTTACCCTAGTAGAACAAGGACATTACTTGGATGTCAATGCAAGATAGAATAGAACCCAAAAGAGGGGGGAGGATTGCATACTAGGAAACTCCTTATTGTATTTGCATTAAAATTCCAGATCTAAGAAAAGAAAAGAGAATTTTGCACCTGCAAAAACACACTTCCATTTTTCACCAAAGGATGATCATGCAGGTCAGTCCTTGGTGGAAAAATCAACAGGTCAGGAACCATGGCATCCTGACAGACCTATTGCAGAACATAAACATAAATAAACTTCATAATAACGAAACATAGCAATAATAATATCATTGAACTGAAAAACATGAAGAAATCATGGAAATAGATACTTTGAGTTTTACCAATCTTCAGTAGTTACTGAGTATCTTTTCGTCTGCCCTCTCTCTACCTCTTTTC